TTGACCCTCTATAAAAAATCGAAATTAGGAGTGTAAATGGTCAATTGGAGAGATGGGTGGCGGTAGTGCACTTATAAGTCTGCAATCTGCCGTAAAGCAAGAAGAAGAAGAAGACGCGACAAAGAAGACGCATCACGCACTCAGGATGCACTCAAGACAGTTCAGACATTGCAGTGCTTCAGAAGTAAAAAACTATATAAATACTGTTCAGTTTCTTGCACAGACTGATCGTTTCGTGTCTTTACACATCAATGTATCGTCACGAGCCACAGGGTTTAATTTGGTTTTGTTTGTGTATGTTTTTTTTGTGTGTATGTTTTTGTGTATGTTTATAAGACTGACAGACTGCAACGGTTTGAGTTAAAAATCTTTGTTTGTTTTCTACTGAAGAAACAAAGTCACCTACATCTTGGATGCCCTAGGGGTAAGCAGATAAACATCAAATTTTCATTTTTGGGTGAACTATCCCTTTAAGGTTCATGACATGAGGAATCTAACTTTCCTTGTTCTTTTGACAATTAAAACGTTCTGCAAGTTATCTAGCTTAAAACGCCCTTCTCATTATTAAAAAAAAGCATTTAACAAAGCTCCAGATACATCTCGTTTGAATATTGGGGGATCTGTCACATCAAAGGGGAAAATATATTTGCATATGACTGCCTCCAGAGCAAGACATTGACAAATATTTATGTATTATCACAGCCTAGGCCAAGCCTACTGGTGTTCAGTTGGCTGACACTTGCCTACACTGGATGCGAGCGTTGCATTGTGTTTCCTCAAAAGCAAATAGAACCTATTATAATCAATGATGTGATCTACACTGGATACAGTATACAGATTCCCATTCAATTTCTGATGTACACCATGCGCTTGAGCTACTCCTGACAACTGGACAAATGGAAGAGTAAAGGAAGGCTTGCTTTGACGTGTCCGTCAATCTGTACATCTCTGTACAGACTTCAGAAAAGCCCCAGTGCTAGGAACAAGTGGCTTTGTCTGTAAATGACTTTGTTTTAAGTGGGTTTTATATTACTTTATTGTTAAGGATTTTATATGGATAATGCTTTCAAAACACTTACATGCAATAGCAAGGAGCATTGATACTTTTTCTTATGCAATGACGTTAACCAATTATAAAAGTGGCCGTTTATGTGCATGCATTTTAAGGGGAGTTGCCCCTTAAAAACGGATCATTTCAAACAGAGGGTCAGAATGATAATTTTTCCTCATATATATATATATATATACAGTGGGTACGGAAAGTATTCAGACCCCCTTAAATTTTTCACTCTTTGTTATATTGCAGCCATTTGCTAAAATCATTTAAGTAAATTTTTTTTCCTCATTAATGTACACACAGCACCCCATATTGACAGAAAAACACAGTTCTTTACAACGTTGCTCCAGTTTATTGAGGTTTTGGGGCATTTGTTTATGCACAGCTCTCACCACAACATTTCAGTCAGGATGAGGTCTGGACTTTGACTGGACTGCTGCATCCCCTTGATTCTTTTCTTTTCAGCCGTTCTGTTGTAGATTTGCTGGTGTGCTTGGGATCATTGTCCTTATGCATAACCCAATTTTGTCCCAACTTTAGCTGTCGGACGGATGGTCTCAAATTTGTCTCTAGAATACTTTGGTATACAGAGGAGTTCATGGTCGATTCAATGACTGTGAGGTGCCCAGGTCCTGTGGCTACAAAACAAGCCCAAAATCATCAGCCCTCTACCAGTATTTGTGACTTTTGGTATGAGGTGTTTGTGCTGATATGCTCTTTAGGTTTTCACCAAACATGTGCATTATGGCCAAACATCTCCACTTTGGTCTCGTCTGTTCAAATAATGTTGTTCTACTGTTCTACAATGTTGGTCTTCATAAGTTTTATGGTTTGTTTAGATGCAACTTTGCAAACCTAAACCGTGCTGCCATGTTTCTTTAGAGAGAAGAAGCTTTCTTCTGGCAAGCCTTCCAAATATGCCATACGTGTCCCATATTTTTCTAATTGAACTTTATCATTTAACATGTTAACTGAGTAGAGTCTGTGGTGAAGTTCTTGTGTTGTCTGCCATTTCTCTGAGCATTACACGGTCTGTTCTTGGGGTGAATTTGCTGGGACGTCCACTCCTGGGAGGATTGGTGTCTGTTTTGAATGTCTTCCACTTGTGAATAAACTTCCACATTGTTGAATGATGGACTTCAAATTATTTGGAAATGGCCGTATTACTCTTCCCAGATTGATAGCAGCAACAGTTGCTTCTCTAAGATCATTGCTGACGTCTTTCCTCTTTGGCATTGTGTTAACACACACCTGAAGGCTCCAGACCAGCAAACTGCCAAAACTTCTGCTTTAATGGAGGTGCTCACACTTGCTGATGATCAGATAACCAAAGGCATTTGATTAGCAGTGCCTGACCATTACTTACCCTATGTTAATAGTAAGGGTGACAAAATTTGAGACCATCCGTCCGACAGTTAAAATTGGGCTAAAATTGGGTCATGCGTAAGGACAATGATCCCAAGCACACCAGCAAATCTACAACAGAACGGCTGAAAAGAAAAGAATCAAGGGGATGCAGCAGTCCAGTCAAAGTCCAGACCTCATCCTGACTGAAATGTTGTGGTGAGAGCTGTGCATAAACAAATGCCCCAAAACCTCAATAAACTGGAGCAACGTTGTAAAGAAAAGAGGGCCAAAATTCCTCCAGAACGATGTGAGAGACTGATAAAGTCACACAGAAAATTATTACTTCAGGTTATTGCTGCTAAAAGTGGATCTACAGGCAACTGAAACATAGGGTGTTCTAACTTTGTCACACACGGCTTTTCCATTTTGGCTTTATTTTTGTTAAATAAATAATGACACAGTGTGATATGTCATGTGTTGCTGTTCACCTGAGGTTTTATTTTCCACAATTTAAGACCTGCCAAGGACCTGATATTTTTTTTATAATGCCCCGATACAGACAACCATGGAATTCAATAGGGTGTCCAAACTTTTTCACATGACGTTATATATAAAGGGAAATCAGCAGTGGTATGTAGGAGACAGACCTGATGCTCCTGATGGCTGCAGATGCAATCTGCTTGCTGGGGGTTTATCAGGTGGTTAGATGAGAGGCAGCATATTGTTTTTGACTTGGTAATGTGTCAGGAGATGAGTCTATTTTTCCACTGCAAATCTCACTTGTTCGAGAGGTGTGCCAAAAACAGGACAAACAATGAGAACCGACACCTCACAATACTCTCTTCAGTTCTCAATTCTCTTTTCTGCTTTATATTGTCAATTACTATTTACTATTGTTTATATTCCTCTATAACTGTTGCTTTTTGATAATATTAAATAAATAGAACAAAACTTAAAAAGTGTATTTTTAGGGAGAATAAATCATATTAAATGAGTTTTTTGTTTTTTTTAGAATAAGCACTGTCTTCTGGAAGCTGATCTGAGCTGTGTGAAAGACTTGTTGAGGAGAGAGATCTATCCCATCGTGATCTTCATCAAAATCTGTGATAGGAACATCAAAAGATTAAGGTAAGAACTCTTCCAAGGTCTTCATTCTTGCAAAGACACATTGCACTCTTAAATGAGTGTCATATTCATTATTTAGTTCTAGTATGAAGATTCATTATTCAAGGTCAACTGTTCCTCAGATCATTTAGTAATCGCTTCTGATGTTTTCTTCGAGCAGAAGGCTCCCTCTAAAGGTGGACTCTGAGGAAGAGTTCTTGAAGATGTGTCGCTCCAGGGAGAAGGAGCTGGAGACGCTGCCGTGCTTGTATGCGGGTGTGGAGCCTGACTCTTGGGGTGGGGTGGAGGATCTCGTCAGGATCATCAAGGACAAGATTTTTGAGGAGCAGAAGAAGACCGTCTGGGTGGAGCAGGACCTGCTGTGACCTGATCACGGGAGTAATGGCTTATGGCGCACCAAAACTCTGTTTCCAGCTAGGGTGGAATGTATGCATGCAGCACAGGCGTGTGAACAGGAAGTGACTCTGTCAAAGGCGTCAAAGGTGAGGTGTGTTTTTCTCTGCTGTCAAAAAAAAAAAAATGCAAACACGTGGATGGGGAATGGTACCATGTGATGCTCCTGAGGTTCACATGGTAAGCAGTGGAAATGTTCTCATCCCAGAGCTTCTTATCTATTATTCTTCTGAAGCGGAGCTGTTGTCAATAAAATATTATCCTTCCCAGCATCCACCTGTAATGTTCAGTATAGCGTGGACCACTGAATTTTGCTTCAGTTGATTTGTGTATAACTGTAAATTGAATCTGATACCACCATTATTGCAATATACAGTATGTACTTTTATCTTTATAGGCAAATGACATGAATTAATATTTGTGACTTCTATATTTATTTTAATACAAGCCCACATTTGTAATGTGTTTGTAAAGGTTAGTCTTTGTGCAGATAACACACATGTGGCTTAATTCTGTGCCCATTTCAGCTGCTACAAATACTTGCCAGGGTTTTACTGTATCTCTAGTTCATACTGTATTTCAATGGCATTATCTATATTTACATGTCAGGCTACTGACTGTAATTTGCAACTTTTTTAATTTTTATGCTGGCATTATTTTGGAGCCTGTTTAAGCTGTCATTGATTAATGTCCTGAAGTGGGCTCTTATCTTCTCTATCTATCTCTAGATGTTATCACAGTGAGAGCTGTTTCTGGTGTTTACTTAATGTTCCATTCTTTAAAGATGAATTACTGCTTGCCATTTAGAAATATCATGATTTATGGGTATCTCACAAATAATACGAACATTTTTTAAATACATTACATTTAAGGTTAAATGAATGGGAATGTATAAGGGAATTTTTTTTTAGGCTTTTAAAAAATATATATATATATATTCATGGGGTCTGTGTTGTTACAAATTTAATGTGTGTATATAACGAAAAGGGGGTTTTAAGCATCATTTAAGCTTCTTTTTCCCCCCAAACATTATAATGTGTTCTGTTGAACTTTTTCTTCTGAGCAAAAATAATGACTATCATACATTTTTACCATGATTTACTCAAATGTACCAAAAAATCTTGTCAGGCATATTTAAAACAAGAATCATCGAATGACATTAATTTAAAAGAAGATTTAAAATGACAATTAAACCAGTCTTTGCTACTATCCTTCAAGCTACTAGGTTTTACCCATTTGTCAGCAATTAGTTTTTAATCATTTAAACTGTAATAAAATTTTGTATGACCACTTTTTCTTTTATATATTTTAATAAGTACAGGTCAGAGAAAGTATGTTTTACTTTTACATAAATATATATTTTACGCTGAATGACGATGGAACATTATTTCACTAATTTTATTTTCACAAAAGTTATTAGAAAAAGTAGACGCTTTTCTTGCATTTAATATGCTTTCCGTGCATATAAATTCACTTTTGTCAATTGAATTGGGTGCTGACCCCAAAATGGGATGTCTTGTCTTTGACCCATACAGTACAAATATTCCATTTTATCACTCAAATAATTAAATATATAGTTTAAATTGAATATATATTTCATTATTTGTTAATTACATAGATTTTATGTTTAATTATTATTATAATTTTTTTTTTTACAGTACAAATATTCTATTTAATCAGTCACGTACTACAAAGTCATGAAAACTCCACGTGTAATCATTATAAATAGAATTATGAAAAAAAATTAATTATTGATGTCAACTACCCTTATACTGACCCCTGTGATTTTAAACATGCCGCATATAGATGTGTGTATATTTATTGCTGAGATTGATGCCACTGTAGGGGAAAAAAATCTCCAACTCCCAAGCGTTGATTTAATCTATTTTTGTAAATATTATTTTATAAACAGACACTGGAATGTACTTTGCAGCTGACACAACAATGCATGGTGTCTTTTATGTAATAAATGGTTTTGAGAAGCAGAGTTTCTGTTTTCTGGGTTTACATTGTGCTTCAGAAAGAAACTGCCACGTTTTTGCTGTTGAAATGAGAACTGAAAAAGACTAAAAGGGCTTGAAAAGAGGAGAAATCCTGGAGAGAGTGTGTCACGAGCAGCGCAGTGGAAATTTCAGTTGGTCCCTGACAAGCAGACACCTTGTTGCTGCTTTGTGGTGTTGGTGGTGCATGGTTCCTCTCAGAGTAGCGTCACTTGCAGACAACAACTCTGACGCTAAACCAACTTTCCACTGTGATTGTAAACACCATTGAAGAGGCTCTCGGATCTGGCGCTGCTCACTAAAACCAGGAGAAATCGGTTTCATGTAACAGAACGTGTCACATTAGCTTGTTTACAACCTGAAAAGACTGTTACTTTCTTTAGTTAAGCTCATCTTGTGTTCTTCAGAGTGAAATGCTTGCTTTTAAATATGCCGGGTAATTGTTTACGGCGGTCAATATTAATGCATAAAAGGCCAAGTGGAAGTAGAGATATGAAAATATAATTTGCAAATCAATGCAAACACATTACATTTTGAAAGTCCTGGGCGAACAATGCTGGTTTCATGCGCATTGTAGTCCATGTACTTTAGAGATTATGCACAAACTAATTTGTATCCTTTATCATAATATATTCAAAACCCACAACATGAAAATCCAGTCTCTGGAGCCCCGTTTGAGCTTTTCATTTTCAGCGGTTTTTGTTTGTGCCTTTCTCACACAGCTGTTCGCTACAGGAAGTGATGTGTACGTCGCGAGCGTGTCACTAAATGCCTTGGCCCCTGCATCCATCAGTCAAACGTGTGAGGAGCGCCGGAGCCGAAATGCCATAATAGACTCTCCATGAAGGAGTGTCTGTCACAGACATCAGACCTTCTGTGTCTAGGCCGTCTGTATCTCCCTGTTTCACCCACTACTTCATAAGCCATCAGATCCCACTCATCCTTTGTTCTGAGAAGCACAAGGCATTTAGCTCTTCTTCTAGCTGCTCATCAAAGCACAGATAAATGTGCTTTCTGCACGCGGAGAACTTTGTGCCTTTTTTGCAGCAGTTAACAAAAACACACTTTCAAGATCATTGCTTTGATTAGGAGAGGAAAGCGCTTTAACAGCAATTTTCATTGTGGCCATCAAGTACAGACCTCCATTAATAACACATACACTTGTCCATGTATGAGAGTCATTATGCTGGAATCAAAGAGTGGCATAAATTTAATTATTTGCCATTTTATTTATTTAATTAGACATTTTCCTCTATAGTCCTCTGAGACCACATGCCCGCTGGGTTTGGTTTATTCTTATCTCACTTAATTAGGCTGGACAAAGCTCTAAATCTGATTTCTGCTTTACTTTCCGATTCCCTTGCTAAATATGTTTGCCAAGCGTTTGTGCCTAAGCACATTATATTATCAACTCTTTGTTCTGTATGTTCTTAAGGAGTAGTTTAAACCTTAGTAGTAGTTTTAATAACCTTTTGAAATCAAGTTAATGGTGAACGGGCTGTTGAGCTCAAAAATAAAATCACATTTTATTTTAAAATGCATGCTTGAGAAAAAAAGAGCTGTATAAAGACACCTTAAAAACAGTCTTTTTTTTGGTGTTTTTTAGTCATTTTTTTATACAATGCATGGAAGATTTATTTTTTGCTGACATACACATACTGTGCTCAGTCACCAGAATATGCAAAAAAAAAAAAAAAATGACCATAAGACAATATGGGAATTAAATGTACATTTATGTTATTCAGAGTAGCTTATCAAAAGTCTAATGCCATAAATGACTGTCTGATTTGAGCATTTGTTTTAATGATTATCTTCATTAATATTTTAATGTTAAATAATTAATTTTTTATTAATGTAATAATTAATAAAAATATCTGTTTGAATCATTTTCAATTGTTTGTTTTATATATAATTTGTATTTAATTATGATTGTTCTAATTCTACTGTTTTTATATAGCATGCAAACATTGGCTAGAAAAGCTCCAATGCATCTTACATGGTAAATCAGCTCTCACCAACAAATGATCCTATGATTTCCCAAAGTTATAGCACTCGCTGCTCATTTGCTGCCTCTGCTTCAAAGCATAGTGGGAAACATGGATGGCAGTGCTGGTTATTTCAGCCTTAGCTTGCTTCAACCCTCTCCAAGAATGCTATCAAGAGCAATTTGCCCCAATGAGAAGAATGGATACTTGTGTATTTCTGTGTTGCTTTCTGATTTTGGTGATCAAAATGTGTAATCATGGCCATGTTGCTCTCTGAAAGCCTCTTCAGCTGCGTTTTGTGTGCATGTTGATTTCATCTTTCCTCCAAAAACCCAGTCCAATTAACCTCCTGCTTGAAAATCAACTTGTAAGCGTTTCCATTAAATGTTTTCCTTGTGCACATCAACGCAACAAATAGGTTTAAGAACTGAATCGCAACCACAGTAATCAGAGTGTTTTTTCTTATGCTGTAAATGACATTGAATAATCTACGTGGAGGAGGAACGAAAAAAGTGTCACTATTTATATGCTAATGTTGGAAGTCCTGTTTTTCTTATGTAGGTGGTCACTGGCACAAAATTCGCCCGCTCTACTTTTCTGCACCTGTGGTTTTAAATAATGTCTTTGAGGTGTTGTGCTGGGAAAATGTTTAAATATTATTTTATATTGTTGACTATGTGTAATAAAGCTTTAGCACATAATGAGAGTGTCTTATTAGTGTAGAAATAATAACCATACGATCTTTGACAAATTATGTTTTGATTAAGAATATGCTCATTATATGGTTTCTTTACCTGTGGGTTTTCTTTTCTTTTTTGGTTGACACTTATGCATCCAACAGAGCTCATTTGACAAAAAAACAAATGATGTATATGGGTGAGAAACTGTGATTCAAAGGAAATGTATGACTGTAAGCGCAGGTTAACACTGCCCTCTGCTGAATGAACAGTTCTTTTTTTATTATTATGCAAGCAGAAGACCACAGAAGAGCCTTTTCACAAAATCAAATAAACTAGGCTATATATACAAGGTCAGTAGTTTACTTTTTATTTAAAATTTTTTTACATATATGTTATATCATATATATATATATATATATATATATATATATATATATCATCATCATCATCATATATATAGCCTACATATATGTCTGACCATTTTATGAAAAGGCACATTTTGTTCAGGACAAATTGTGTAACCTTAAGAAAACTTTTTGATACTCAAGCATTTTATTACCTTTGTCTTGACTGTTAAACCTCTGGGCATTTTAGACTCAACATAAATCAATAAATCTGTGGCACAAACCTTGGGTGGTGGTGGTCTAATAAATTTGTTAAGCGTGTATATTATGAAAGAAACATGAATACACATATTACATTTCCAAGGGCTAGGCGCAAGTGTTTTAAAAACAGATTTCCTTGACATCCAAACACCGTGTCCTAACTACACGCGACGCGACAAGATTCCAGCGACGAGCAATTTGTCCACCATAGACTGTATAAGACACCGCGACGCGACAGAATCAATCAAATATCACAGCCAATCAGAGGCGTGTGTGGGCGGGCTCTCTGGAAGCGCACTGCTCTTGCAGCGAAATGGATACGTTTATAATCTAATTCATAAATATTAAACCTTTTTAACATCATTAAATGTACATACTGAGAGACTGATAACATCTTTGTCATGGACTACACTCGTTGGTTCGCAGTGAGTCCACAGTTTTAACGGTCATCTTTGCTGTCATTTATTTTCAAGATCTGAGGTAAACTATCTATTGTTGCTTTCAGTATGGCTATAGTATAAGGTCACACAAAAGTATATTTAAACTCATATTAGACACGTTTAACTTTGAATAAAGCACATAATCACCTGAGATTATCTACTGCCCTATAGTTTGTATGTTGTTGTTCGCGTGTCGCGGCGTCGCGTCGCGTGTAGTTAGGACACGGTGTTATCCAAGTGTTTCATTGTTCATTGCCAGGTTTCTTGTAAAGTTTTAAAGGGCTCCTATTATGCTTTTTCACTTTTTTAATTTTAGTCAGTGTGTAGTGTGTATGTTTGGGCATAAAAAAGATCTAGAAAGTTACAAATCTCAAAGTCCACTCCAAAGGGAGATATTTCGTTTTTAATACACATACTGTGCTCAGTCACCAGAATATGCAAAAAAAAAAAAAATGACCATAAGACAATATGGGAATTAAATGTACATTTATGTTATTCAGAGTAGCTTATCAAAAGTCTAATGCCATAAATGACTGTCTGATTTGAGCATTTGTTTTAATGATTATCTTCATTAATATTTTAATGTTAAATAATTAATTTTTTATTAATGTAATAATTAATAAAAATATCTGTTTGAATCATTTTCAATTGTTTGTTTTATATATAATTTGTATTTAATTATGATTGTTCTAATTCTACTGTTTTTATATAGCATGCAAACATTGGCTAGAAAAGCTCCAATGCATCTTACATGGTAAATCAGCTCTCACCAACAAATGATCCTATGATTTCCCAAAGTTATAGCACTCGCTGCTCATTTGCTGCCTCTGCTTCAAAGCATAGTGGGAAACATGGATGGCAGTGCTGGTTATTTCAGCCTTAGCTTGCTTCAACCCTCTCCAAGAATGCTATCAAGAGCAATTTGCCCCAATGAGAAGAATGGATACTTGTGTATTTCTGTGTTGCTTTCTGATTTTGGTGATCAAAATGTGTAATCATGGCCATGTTGCTCTCTGAAAGCCTCTTCAGCTGCGTTTTGTGTGCATGTTGATTTCATCTTTCCTCCAAAAACCCAGTCCAATTAACCTCCTGCTTGAAAATCAACTTGTAAGCGTTTCCATTAAATGTTTTCCTTGTGCACATCAACGCAACAAATAGGTTTAAGAACTGAATCGCAACCACAGTAATCAGAGTGTTTTTTCTTATGCTGTAAATGACATTGAATAATCTACGTGGAGGAGGAACGAAAAAAGTGTCACTATTTATATGCTAATGTTGGAAGTCCTGTTTTTCTTATGTAGGTGGTCACTGGCACAAAATTCGCCCGCTCTACTTTTCTGCACCTGTGGTTTTAAATAATGTCTTTGAGGTGTTGTGCTGGGAAAATGTTTAAATATTATTTTATATTGTTGACTATGTGTAATAAAGCTTTAGCACATAATGAGAGTGTCTTATTAGTGTAGAAATAATAACCATACGATCTTTGACAAATTATGTTTTGATTAAGAATATGCTCATTATATGGTTTCTTTACCTGTGGGTTTTCTTTTCTTTTTTGGTTGACACTTATGCATCCAACAGAGCTCATTTGACAAAAAAACAAATGATGTATATGGGTGAGAAACTGTGATTCAAAGGAAATGTATGACTGTAAGCGCAGGTTAACACTGCCCTCTGCTGAATGAACAGTTCTTTTTTTATTATTATGCAAGCAGAAGACCACAGAAGAGCCTTTTCACAAAATCAAATAAACTAGGCTATATATACAAGGTCAGTAGTTTACTTTTTATTTAAAATTTTTTTACATATATGTTATATCATATATATATATATATATATATATATATATATATATATCATCATCATCATCATATATATAGCCTACATATATGTCTGACCATTTTATGAAAAGGCACATTTTGTTCAGGACAAATTGTGTAACCTTAAGAAAACTTTTTGATACTCAAGCATTTTATTACCTTTGTCTTGATTGTTAAACCTCTGGGCATTTTAGACTCAACATAAATCAATAAATCTGTGGCACAAACCTTGGGTGGTGGTGGTCTAATAAATTTGTTAAGCGTGTATATTATGAAAGAAACATGAATACACATATTACATTTCCAAGGGCTAGGCGCAAGTGTTTTAAAAACAGATTTCCTTGACATCCAAACACCGTGTCCTAACTACACGCGACGCGACAAGATTCCAGCGACGAGCAATTTGTCCACCATAGACTGTATAAGACACCGCGACGCGACAGAATCAATCAAATATCACAGCCAATCAGAGGCGTGTGTGGGCGGGCTCTCTGGAAGCGCACTGCTCTTGCAGCGAAATGGATACGTTTATAATCTAATTCATAAATATTAAACCTTTTTAACATCATTAAATGTACATACTGAGAGACTGATAACATCTTTGTCATGGACTACACTCGTTGGTTCGCAGTGAGTCCACAGTTTTAACGGTCATCTTTGCTGTCATTTATTTTCAAGATCTGAGGTAAACTATCTATTGTTGCTTTCAGTATGGCTATAGTATAAGGTCACACAAAAGTATATTTAAACTCATATTAGACACGTTTAACTTTGAATAAAGCACATAATCACCTGAGATTATCTACTGCCCTATAGTTTGTATGTTGTTGTTCGCGTGTCGCGGCGTCGCGTCGCGTGTAGTTAGGACACGGTGTTATCCAAGTGTTTCATTGTTCATTGCCAGGTTTCTTGTAAAGTTTTAAAGGGCTCCTATTATGCTTTTTCACTTTTTTAATTTTAGTCAGTGTGTAGTGTGTATGTTTGGGCATAAAAAAGATCTAGAAAGTTACAAATCTCAAAGTCCACTCCAAAGGGAGATATTTCGTTTTTAAAAAAATCCCTTTTCAAGAACTACAACGAACGGCTCGTTTGGACTACAGCGTTTGTTTTTGTTTTCCGGGCTTTGTGATATCACAAAGCGGCCCATTAGAATGTCATTAAAAATAATTCCCGCCTACAGAAATTCGAATGGTTGGGGGGTGGGGAGGGGCGAGGTTGTGGTTAGAACGCTTGGTTGAGTGAGTTCGAGGGCAACCTCTCTCGTGAAGCCAACACGGAAGTGACTTAAACTGTAATTCATCAACTGGCCGCTAGAGGCTGGCTGCAAAAGGAAGTCAATCCCATAGACTCCCCATGTTAAAATGCCCAACTTTACAGCAGGGGGGGGTGATTTTTTTTTTATAACTCATCTGTTTAAATTATATTAAGCCTTAAAGGAAGTGACTTAAACTGTAATTCATCAACTGGCCGCTAGAGGCTGGCTGCAAAAGGAAGTCAATCCCATAGACTCCCCATGTTAAAATGCCCAACTTTACAGCAGAAAAAAACATGTTTACAGCCTGGTTCAAAACATGATTTTGCCCTTCATGACAACTGTTTAAATTATATTAAGCCTTAAAGTTCTGCATAGTTAAGGGCGTGGCCACTTGAGTGACAGGTGGATTGCCGCTGCGGTCACCACCGTCGAGCTAGGTGGGTGTGGTTTCAGCAGCCAGCTCCCGCCTCTTTGCCCATTTTCGATTATCCGGGAGTGACGCGCTGCCAAGATGGCGACGGCTGGCTCCGCCTACTTTAGGATTCAAAACGCTCGTCGGAAGTCTACAGGTTACGTCACGGACACTACGTCCATGTTTTTATACTAGCTGTTTCTCATTTAGAAGGCTGCGTCCTCCGGAGGTCGCATTCGAAGGCTGCATACGTTATCGAGGCTGTCTCATTTCAGAAAAGCAAGTAGGACACTCCGAATGCGACCTTCGAA